TTTCATTGTCAACCCCAGTGCCAAGTGTAAAGCATTTTGCTGTTCAGTTTTCAGAACTAGATAGTGCAAATAGTATCTTCGCTGTCAAGTTAGTAGCATTGGCACTGTGTCTGAGTGCCGACACAATGGTGCATTTTTGTTGCTGCAACTGTGTTTAGAGTCATTTTTATTTGGCAACAATCTTCCAGTTTCTTCACCGAGCAGCTTTATAATGTAATTTTTCATATTGTCTGGTCAAACTGCAGTTGGCCTCAGTTTGGATGCAGTGATCTTAGTTGTTCTTGCTTGCGTGTCAGTAATCATAGGTGTTGTCACTTGTCATAATGAGTCTCTACAGTTCTGACTTTTTAAAGTATCTTGATTATTCATAACAGGAAGTACTCTAATTGTCAGCTTATGAATAATTCAACAATAAGCGGTGATACAATTTTGAATCACTTAACAGTGAAGTGATATGTATGTTTAAAAATCAGTCCCGTCAAAACTACACAGCATCACTTGAAGAAATGAGTTGTAGTTGTTATAGTGACTCTACCCAATATTGTACAAGTTCTAGAAAAACTGTGTGCCTGTTGCATTTTTTTTGATCTTCCTCTCCCAGTCGATCTGTGTCGATGTCACTTTCCCCTAGCTTTAGGTTTAAACCTATTCTCAGACCTCTTGTCTAACTTTTCTGCTAACTCCGAGTTCAGTAAGGTGCACAATACAGCCAAAAACTCTCTTGGACTTGTCAGAGGAATCGATTGGGTAATGCTAATCTGGACTCTATGCTGATGAGAGTTGTCATCGACCTGTCACAAAGGTCCATAAGTGAGAATTTGCCTGACTGAAAAGGCAGCAGGGTGTCAGAGAGGGGGAGAATTTTGTTTTCTTGTCTGCTTGACAATCAAACCTGTTATATTTAAAGACAAGGAGCAATCCCCCGAGGAAAGCTCTATCAAAGTGATTTGACCCATTGAGTGGCGGATTGACACCCAAGCATCGTGTATATGTGTTGATGTGTGTATGTATGCAGATGTTTTGTTGTTTTGGTTTTGCTTGTTAGTTTTCTGTAGTTATTTGTAGTTTGTCCGTATCAAATGAATGATGTGTGTGGAGTCAGTCAGCAAGCTGTGTCACTGTATCTATCCCTTAAGAGTACTATAGGCCAACAATAACAAGGGCCACGAGAGGGAAATGAAAAAAGCCATAATTAGAGGCACAATGAAATCCTAATGCAATTACACGGAGTTCTTTCTGCAGAAAACAACAGGATTAAAGTTTAAATGACTTATTTGCAAAGACAAGCAATATAACAGTCTTCAGCCATGTTATCGGGGTTTGAGGGCACAGAATTCAAAATTCATCATGCATTATTAATAAGTTTTATATTAAAAATAATATATGCACGCTTCTAGCATCTCCCATTACAGAGTGGAATTGGAGCTATTGATTAAACATTTCATGTGTGCAGCTCATCATATGTTTGTTCAAAGACAAAAACAAGAACTAGGAAAACAGATCTTGACAATAGTGTGGCAGAAAGTCAGTTTTTACTGCTGTTATCCTGTGGCATATGGAAGACTAAAGTGCTAAAAATTACACAAGTAGAAACACTTTTTCAGAGATATTTTTTATCTTCTGCCACTTGTCCGGCAGAAGATGGATCTGGTCTCTCTGTGACCTGCAGGGACAGCAGTCTAAGCAGAGAAGCCCAAACCTCCCTCTACCCGGACTACCTCTTTGTCCTCTCCCGAGGAGACAACAAGGCATTTCTTGCCAGCTGAGACATATAATCATCTCTCCAGTGTGTCCTGGGTCTGCCCCATGGCCTCCTCCCAGTAGAACATGCTCAAAACACCTCAGTTAGGAGGTGTCCCAGGAGGCATCCTAGCCATACCTAAACCACCTCAACTGGCCACCTTTTGACATGGAGGAGTAGCGGCTCTACTCCAGGCAAATTCTTAGGCTGAGCCCAGAGACTATTAACCTCTTAAGCCCCAACGCCACCTGATACGGGGGCAAAAGGCAGGAGATCAGGTAGGCTTGGGGCTTAAGAGGTTAAGAAGAAGCTCACAAACTCATTATTTCAGTCACTACAGTCTGTAGAAAACATTTATTCAGTCATTGGTCACTACCCACAGCTTGTGACCGCAGGTGAAGTGTCATAAAGTCAGTCCCAACCAGTCACAAGCTTTGATCATATTTAGCTCAACAGCTGCCACCAAATTTACTAAAAAAGTTACTTTTAGCTAAGAGTAATTGTGAATTATCCAGCTATCACAGAACACAGAAAGAAAAAATGACATATGTTTAACTTACCTGTGCGCTATAGTTTGCATGTAGTACTGGTTTGCCTGCCAGTTTTTTGTGAGCACACAGGTTTGTCTGCTAGACACTGACTGCAAAGCACCAGCTACGCATTTAAGGCAAACATTAAACACACTCAAAAGAGAACAAGAAGAATGAGCAGTCTCCTGCTGGTCTCTGTTTCATTCTTCGTTCAGGTATAATCCAAAGAATTCAAAGGACCAGGGCTCTCTGACAACTGCCAGTGTTCCTAGCTATAGCTTGTTACAGTTGGCCAAAAAGACCACAAAAAAGGAAATGTGTCTCTTTCTGAGGCCATCTTTCTAAACTATCTAATAAAGCATATGGAAACAGAGTAACTAACCACTAAAGACATACTGTATGCTAACTAAGCAGGGCTGTCCATGAACCTTTCACTGTAGCTAACAGCTAAAATTACCACAGATGTTTCATTGGGTCCTGCATTTTTCTGAGGAGATCTTTTTACAGAGATGAATTAACTTGCAATCCACAGCTTATGTTGGGCCCTTACTTTGATGCTGGTTGCTAATTAACCCCAAATCTTTACATCTAATCTAATTTTTTTTTAAATATATAGCCTGCTCAGCGAGCTTTAAAAAATCTAGAGGGTTGTTTACAAAACCTTCTACTGTTTGAAAGTTTTTGCAAGTGTCCTCTAGCCAAAAAGATTGCCATTATTATTTTTTTAACCAATTTGTTGTGTTGCAGTGTGCAGAATGCTTTTGGCTGAAAGCCACAAAAACGGCACGCTGACAGAATTCACCAAGTAAAGAAGGCAGTCTTCTGCTTTAAATGAAATCCTTTTAACCTAGTTAAAACTTCTCAACCTTGAGGCCCTGATTCCTCAGACATAACTTGATCAAGTGTCTTTAGGTTTAGACAGGCAATCACGAGGTAATTATCCTAAGTAATGAGAATTCATAAATGGTAGCCTGTGTGTTATCCTGTGTTCTTACGTAAATATCCATTTCATTCCCCTAAACAAGACGTCAGCTAAGCGTTTTTCACCAGAGGGCGATCAAGACAGTCGTTAGTAACAGGTATGTGCAACTCTTGTCTACCTGTAAATAATTCCAAGGCTCATCTCATCGCACATCAAATATTTAAGTGGTTCCCAGAGTAATAAAGTTAGGATTGATTAGAGGACGTGCCCCTGCGTTAGAACGCCTCAGGCGGGATGAAACCAATAAGAGAGGTAATTATAAGAAGAGAAATGGGAGAAAGATCGAGAAGCAAGATACACTTGACTACTCTTATGTCTATCCTTGTGTTGGTATTTCTAGTTAACAAATGTGCAAGCAAGGGATAAGCATTCAGTTTAACTTAGGTACTGTCCGAAACTGCTTTCATATCTGCAAAGCAAGGCAGACTAATTGAATCTATGTAAATATCTTTGCATACCTGGTGAGGTGTGCAGTCAAGCGGCTTGTCATTATTAAATTCAATCCATGTGTGAAGGCGTGTGTTCAAAGTCACAAACTGCCTTTAAATTTATTCTATATTTAGACTATATGAATACTATATGGGTAACTCCAAAGCACATGTCTGCCATCTAGTGTTAAGCTCTAGTAATCACACTGTTTCTGAGAGGCTGCACATGGCTGTTTCAGTGTGGTAGTTGGTTTCCC